TCATTAAGCTTTATAAAAATGCACTTGTTCCTATTATTCTGGATCCTTCCAGATGGGGAAGGTCTAGGTGTGAACAGCAAATGATTAGGAAAAAAAAAAGTGAAGTTATAGCTACTGAAATGGATGCTATAATTCTGAGTAGGTAAATGGAGAAGAACCACCCAGTCCCTTTGAAAGGAACACCTTAGGTTCTGCAAGGCACAAAGAAGGGAGAGACATTAATGATCTTTTTGTCCTTCAGAACTACCCTTGATGCCTTTCTCCACAAGAAGAGTGCCTCTGTAGTCCCCTCCCAAACTGTTGCTAGCACCTTAAGTTGAACTTACTGCTGGGTCTGTCATCCCATTCCAGGAGGCTGTGACCATAGTGTGAAGACCGTTTTCCTTAACTTTACTGAGAAGTCTTTGTAGACTGCAGGGGTGGCCCCAGATCTTGTACCTCCCAAGTAAAACACCTCTGCATGTTCCCCCACCACCCCCTATTCCCAGTCACACCATGGGGTGAACACATGCCACCTGAAGGTGTCCTAATGGACACTTTCCAATGTTTAAGTTAACACTACTATGGCCCTGGAAAGAATTCAAGCCAGCATCAACTCACTGGCCAGGGTTGTTTTAGGTGGCAGAATTGCCATAAACCTCCTCCTTGAGGTCTAGGAAGGAGTCTGTGTAATAGCCAGTACTTTCAGCTGTACCTAAATTAAAGCCTCAAATCTAACGAGAGGGTCAATACAGAAACTGAAAGAGAAGAGCTGGGCTATTGATAGGAACCTTAATTAAATGCATCATATGAGGATAACCTAATGGATTTAATTCTAGCCCGTCAGATTATTGAGAGTGGCCACAGGAATGGGTACATACGGGAAATTTTGTCATGTAGATATTGTTGGGAGACAATTTTTCTAGGTCTCTAACATTTCTGCATGACTTATGACAACATTTGTTTTGGACTATCTTTTCAAAGATGTTACTATAGCTAAAAGACGTGGAGGATAGAGAGAGTCTTTTATTATTTCCCTCCAGGACAGAAGGCAGAGTCCACTGTCTATATATTAACTATAATGATTTCCTCTGGAGCATAAGATGGGCAGGGATGCTAGCTGCCCTTTATAAAATATGAAGTGTCCTGGGCTCAGTATTCTTAGGGAGGAAGTCTTTGGATTCCTACCTGCAGAACTTGGGGGCAAAGGGGCACTGACATGAATAAGAAGCTCCTGATGCCTGATGTGACAAGTGATAAATGTTTCATTTCCTCTGCCAGTATCCATGAAAACTTAACTTATTGGACTGCATGTAGGTGAAAATTCAAGATCCTTGACAGTTTCTGACATTTAAAAAATTAAGGCAATCTATGCTTAACAGAACTAAAATTAATTGACTCTTGGTTATTAGTGTCCTTTTGGTTAACCATTTGTTAACTGCAATCACACTTCAGAGATTGCATATATGAATATAAAAATTTCATGGCACATTGGATCCAGGCTTTTTGATCAAGGGTCATTTATTAAGACAATTTTGTATTTATTCTTTTATAGCAATTGCAATTCACTGGAAATATCCAAGTATATTCCTTACATCCCCTAAAATTTGGGTCATGTTATATACACTTATGTACCTATCCCAGCACCAAGCATGGTGCCTTCCATATTGTAAATATTCGGTATTTGCTGGCTGGAAGGGACAAATAAGTTTAAATAGATGGTAGATGTCTACGTTGGGCTACATTTTAAAAAGAGAAGAGAAGTACAGATTTAATCCAAAGGCGACTTTTTTTTTTTTTTTTACCTAACTTGGTGATAAAAGTGAAGTCGTGGTTAGATAATTCTTGCACTTGCCTACAGGAAAGACAGAGAAATGAAAAAAGACATGGACACTCTGGTAATTTGATTAAGTCACCCCAAATTGTATGATTTTAAAATAAAGTGGTGTCAATGAAAAATGGTAAAAAAAAATGTCGAAGGAAGGCAAAATTAACAATACCTACTTAATTCATACTTAGCTTTAATTCTGAGCTCCCCTACACTGGTCTCTGCATTTCAAACAAAGGCATCCATTTAAAACAAATAACATTTAACTCCCCTACTCAAAACCATAATTTTCTATACATTTGAAATAAAATCCAAAGTTCTTGACATGATATCCTAGGCTTTATGTGGGCTGATCCCTGGCCATTTTTCTGTTTCTTCCCTATCTCTGATTTTTCTCTTCTCCTAATCAGCTTTACCTATTGTAAATGTTCTGCTCCTGTCATATATTCTAAGGGCATTCCTGTTTCAAAGCTTCCATGGTTGTCTTACCCATAGCCTACAGCAGTATTACCCCATTGCTGTTCCTTCAGTTATTTTCACATCTTGAACTATTACACCTTATGCAAGTCTTCCCTGGTCATCCAGTCAGATTCTATGCTTCTTTATTTTCAGAGCAATTTTCAATGTCTTATAATATTCTGAATATTTATTTTTATTATATATTTATATGAATGCTTATATATTATTGTAAATAATATTCATATTATTATACATGTATTAAATGTAAGCTCTGGGAGGTGAGGGATCTTTTCTTTTTTGGTCACTGTGGTGAGAACAATGCCTGGATCATTTAAGTTCATCATTTACTTGACATATTCATTTCTAAACATTTCATTCTGGCCACTTAATTATTATATAGCTTTAATGAGAATAAGTATCCCTCCAGAAAACATGTACAAATAGTGGAATAAAGAAGGAGCTGAAGGTATTCAAGAGCAACCAAAGTAGTCAGGATTTCAAGAACTGAGGTCCCAGAGAGCAGAGCCTCATGCTCATGCAAATCCTTTATCTCCCTCCACATTTTCTATCAGTGAAGTTCCCATTTTTTTTAACAGGAAAGAGGAGCCAAGGAGAAATCTGAGACCCTCTTGCGGCAGTTTCACTGGTATGAAGAGACAGAGTTTGAGGTACAGAGATGCCAGGGCACTTAGGTTTGAGGATCAAGATCCCTGGGAGGAAAAAACCACAGGAATGTAAGCTCAAAGTTATGTATAAAATTTCCCTTCACATGTTTGCCAATGCCAGGTAGTACATGCCTAGGAGAGACACCTAGAATCAAGATGCAGTAGCAAAGTCTGGGGTGCTGAAAACTCGGAGGAAATTTCTTCAATCACTTGATGTTGTGGGAAAAAGCGATTAGAATTCAGGGACAAACAAGGTGAAGGTAACCTGATAAATATCCCACTTTCAGTTCAGACAATATATTTGCTGTACCCAACCAGAAACCAGAAATAGACCAACCCTAGCAAATCTTAAAAATAAGCCTCAAAAGAATCCCTACCAGTATAATATGTACCTGCTACACCTTCCATGGTCTTTACTTACAATTTTTACCGATAGTCTAATGCTTAAAGAATAAACACTAAAAAAGAGAAACTGACTCAAAATCAAGAGATAAACACTCAACAGAAATAAACATAAGCTATCCAGAGGTTGTAATTAACTGAGAAAGTTTTGAAAATGCCATGCTTAGTATATTCAAGAAAATACAGGAAATGATAGAAAACTTTAACAGGCAACTAGAATTTACAATAAACAATCAAGTAGAATCAATTCTAGAACTAAAAAACGGAATAACTGAAATGAAGAATTCACTAGGTGATTAAAAATGATTAGATAACTCAGGAGAGATGATCAGGGAACTACAAGATAAGTCAGTGGGAAATATCCAAACGAAAACACAGAAGCAAAAAGGGAGAGCAGTTCAAAGGAGAGTTTAAGAGACACATGGGAAATCGTAAGTACAATCCAACTGAAAAATGCACAAACATTTGATCACGTTACAAAGGTGGATATCTAATGGCCCAGTAAGCATATGAAAGAGTACTCAACATTATCAGTTATGAGAAAAATACAAATTAAAGTATCAATAAGATGTCACCAAAAACCCACTGGGATCGGGGGAAAAAGACATGAAAATACAAAGTGTTGGTGAGGATAGAGCTCTTCAGAAACTCTCATATTCTGCTGATAGGACTCTAAATTGATATAATCACTTTAGAATACTCTCAGGCACTATATGCTAAGCACAAGTAAACATTATGACCCAGAAGTTCTATTCCTAAGAGAAAAGTGAATATGTACATTAAAAGACATGTACAAGAATGTTCATAGCATCTTTAGTCATAATAGGCAATACTAGGAATAACTTAAACAATAATGTGCCAATCATAGACTAGGCTTTTTAAAAGTGGTATATTCAAACAATAGATAGATAAAAGTGGTATATTTTAAAGAGTGGTATATGTACAGCTAAACTCAACTACATAGATAAACCTCACAGATAGAATATTATGTGAAAGAAGAGTACATACTGTACTTGCAGGCAATTCAAAAACAGGCAAAACTAATCTATAGTCACGGAGGTATGACTACCATAGAGGCATGAGTAAGTCTTCTGGGTATGCCCATAGGTTTTATGTCTTAATCTGAGTGGTGGTTATGTGGGTGTAACTGTCTACCAAATACAGAACAGAATGGTCAAAACTAAGCATGTAAAAGTCAAATGCTCTGTGAGGTAAAATGGTTCTCAGTTTGGCTGGAGTGTAAGGAAGCCACAGGGGAGAAGTAGGTATGTCTGTAAAGTGTGGTACTTTATTGGTAATCTTGAATAATAACTGGAGGTTGTTCTCATTTGTTAGGCAGCAAAGAACTTCTAAATGTTGAGCAGGGTATAAATAAACTGAGAGATGTACTTCCTAAGGGATAACTGCTAAAGCATTATGTAAATCTGGTTGAAGAGTCCACAAAAATTCTTCTTAATATTCTATGACCACATTCACACGTGTTACAAGCTTGTAGGGTAAATGAAAAAGATGTTAAATTAGAAGCATACTTTTTCAAGTGTTATTTGAAAAAAAATCTATAACATACACAGTTAAAATGATAAAAACCTCAGAACCTGGTTTAACTCCAAAGTAGTATACTAAAAATATTTGAAGACCAATATTCATATGTTGATTTGGGTACTTACTTCATTAAATGCAAACTCCTCTAAATCTATTTCCTCATATTCATCTTCAGATTCTTCATTGTTAATAGCTTCTAGAGCTGCTGTGAGTTTTTTCCGTAAAATAAAGCCCTTCCAAACTGCCTAAACAAAAATTTAAAGCATGTTATACAAGGTTATAGATCAAACTCCAAACCAGATTCTCTGTGTTATCCCATTAGGAAGATAAAACATCTTAGACCTTAGTTTAATGGCTCAATAATCTGTTTTTTGAACTTTATGTGACACTTAAAACTGCAAGATAAATTAAACAACTGCATGTGTCTGAAGTTCTGAATCTCATGAGACTTTCCTTGTGGTAAGCAGAAAAGAATCTGTAAAACTCCCTCAACTGCACATGTAGGTCAACCAATCAATTATCTGACAATTCCTTCAGGACCCATTATAAATTAGGAAAGAGATACAAAGGAAAACCAATTTTGCTAATTTCCAAGTGATTATGTATAAAATAAACTCACACATTTAAGAAAATTTTCACACATAAATGGCCATATTAGAGAGGTAGTATCCTGGCCTGTAACAATAAACTAATTTCATTTCACTTCAAAATTAACTACACATAGAATACTAGAATTTAAAACATTCAGATTTCTCAATAATCTTGGAGTAGGGAAAGCTTTTCCTAACCACAAGTCCAAGTACATTGCAGCTTTGAAATCATGAGTCTCTTTATATACTGCTGGGGAGTGAACTCCGGGGTATATTAAAGTACAAAAATCAAGATAAAAATAAGTGTGTATTGCATGTTACCATTTATCTCTGAAAGACTGTATATAAATACATAATGAACACATACATTATATAAACTGATACAAGCTTAAATATATAGGTATATATGGTTGGTAATAATTAAAAAGTGGAAGTATAAGTCATAAAATTAATTAAAAATTATTAACCACAGTGGCAGAAAACAGGGCGGAAGTTACAGCAATAGAGGTCAGACTTCTCTGAATATATCCTTGCTTAGATCTGACTTTGGAACTGTGCACTTGCTTAAGGTAGCTGTAAACAGATTAATCTGAAATACAAAAGAAATTCTTAAAAAATCTAAATAGATGTTTCATGTTGTGGGCATAACCACATAGAAGTTACTTAAAGTGACTTTACAATAGATTCATTTGACTATATTCCTAGTGAAATATACTCAAAAGACAAATTTAACTCAGAAGATACCTTAAGGATGTTTTCAGTAATCATATTCTTAGTAGTAATAATGGTATTGTTATTCTGAAAAATATGTACATACTGAAAAGCGGATATGCAAACAGAGCGTACGTGGCAACAGGAGTCACCCACAATCTCTGTGGCCACCAGCCAAGGAAGCCATACCTCCTCTGCAACCATTAGCCAAGAATGGTCAAGATTCGGTCAATGATCGCCAACTTCCCTACTTCTAACTCAGGACCAATAAGAGATAGCCAGATATGCTTCCTAAAGCAATCCCTTGGATGCCCACTTCTATTTGCTTCCTCCCATCTTCCGCATGCCAACAACCTCCAGCAGAATACACCGGAAGACTCTCCTCTCTCTTCGTTAAAGACTTGACACTGCCTTTGAGTCTATACCAAAGGCAAGTGATGATGGCTGACTCCTTCACTATAGCGCACCCAGAATAAATAGCCTGTTTTTTTCTCATCTGTGTGTCTTTATTTCCATTATGTGTGTGCATGTATTCCACACATTCATGTGTGCACGCACACACATGGGAAGGGGAGTGAGAGAGGGGAGAAAAAGCAATTATGTTAATGTCATTAGGAACCAAGGTTTTCTATGGAAGAAAAGAGATATAAATATAAAATTAAATAAGTAAAAGTCTTGTATTTCTAAACTTAATTTTAAAACATCCGTATGAACTAGGGTAATTTTTTTCTTAAAAACGTGTATTTTCAAGCTCATTACATAAAAAAAAATTCTAAAAATAATGATCACATCTGTAGCAACAAGCATTTTTAAAAGCCTAAAACACTACTAAGATCCAGGCTGGGGTCTCTAAATATTCCCAGTAAAGGAACCAAGGATCTTCGGAGAAATGACTGAATCCAGACTTGGGGCAAAATGAATACAAAATGAACCTGGAATATATGTCACATTAGAAAGTGAGGGAAATTTTAAAGATGGATGAATTATTTCAAAAAAGCTAACTTTAAAAGACCCATTAGCCAAATAAGGGCACTAATAAGAATAATAACTGTAATGGAATTAAATAAATCATATATTTTAAAAATTTAAGCATGAAAAAAATTACATTATGATGGAACACATTAGGTTTACCTCTAGAGGATGCTAGGAAACCACATGAATCTAAAAACTGGTAGAAAAGCATCAAGCATTTAGCCTGCTTTTCCAAGGAACTGTTTCTAAAGGTAACCAAATAGTTGAGTAGACAAAGTTTCTCTTTATAGACATATTTTAGTTAATAAGTGAAGAAATATACAGAGTATCAACATTTTGCACACTACTAATAAAACAATTGATCAAGTCAATGATTGTCAATGGCTGCTAATATTCCCCAAAGAGAGGCAACCAGACATTATGTACCACCTCTTCAGTATAATACACACTACCAATGAAGTTTTCTTGATAAAAAAAACAAACCCAAATCATATAAAATGTTACATCTTATTGGCAGCTTACAGAAAAGAGGACAAGAAACATATTAAATGATGCTAGAGGGGTGCATCTGGCAAAATTCAGGAAGTAGAAAACTCTACAGGACAAAGGACAATAAATAAATTGTAAGGAAAAGAACATAAAGGGGGTTATGACTTGTTAAAAGACTGAAGTAACATAAAAACCAAAGGCGAAGTGATGACTTTGTATATTTTGATTAAGAAAAATCTGTAAATAAACATTTATAAAAAGGTAGAGAAATTTGAATGTTGATTTGATATTTGGTGATAATGAAAAATAATTGTCAGTTTTTAGGTTGATAATATATTGCAGTTATATTTAAAACAATAGGTCATATAAAAATTCATACTGAAATATTTATAAAAGAAATGACAAGATATCCGGGATTTGTTTCAAATAATCCAGTGATGAAGGAGGAGTTTGGTTATAGAAGATGTCAATATTAGGTGAAGACCTAGGGAAAAGAGGGTATAAAAGAAATCTTTATTCCAGACCATCAACGAAAAGGCTTGACTCATCATGGCTCACAATGGATCAATGATAGGACCTCTCCCGAGCTCTAAACTGTAATAGTACTGTGTGTTTTTCTGCTGTGACACCTGGAGATACCTCCCTCATAAATCTGCATAGGGTCAGGAATTCAAGTCCTAATCATCTCCATTCAGTCCATGAGAAATAATGGCACATAAATGTTCAGGTTCTTCTTATTTATTTCTGTCAAGGTTCCATTTTTCTCCCAAGAATCCATCTATGACTGATTTATCTTTCTCACACATTCAACAATTCCTTAGCCAGACAATCCTATCTATATTATACATACCTGCCATCTTTTTCTTCTCTAACTACCATCACCTTCCATTATCAGAACATAACCATACATTTGTTCCCTGTTAAAACAAACCCTTGGCACACCTCTGACCATGTTCCCCCTGCATTCTTTTAATATTCTAGCTCTTATAGTAGTCTAGTGGCACTATACATTCTTATAGTTCCAGGAATATAAAGTTCTAGGTGTTTTTATTTCCACTATCCTTTATACCTGAAATTCCAGTCTCTTACATATTTACATTGAGCTATATCTATTTCTCAAAGTATATCTCACATCTTTTATATTGGTTAGAGTAAGCTAAGTGCTATAACAAAAATATCCAAAAGTATATAATTAGTCAAAAGTAATGGCTTATTTCTTGATCACATAACAAACACTGAGAGGGTAAACAGGACAACGGGCCAGCACTTTGACTTAAAGTGATTCAGGTACCCAAGCTTTGCAGACTCTGCGGTCCCAACAGCGTCCACGGATGCCTCAGAGGGTGTCTTCATTTCAGACAACCAGAAAGTGAAAAGAATGGGAAGGAATGTCAGTGGGAGGTTTAACGGGCCAGACAGGAAAGTGGTGCACGTATCTTTCACTCACACTTTACTGACTAGAAGTCACACTGAAGTTCCAAGGGAAGCTGAGCTCTATCTAGGTCAGGCTGTGTGCTAGGAAGAAGAGGAGACTGTGAGTTTTGGCGAGCAGAGAGCAGTCTCTATCACATCCTTCATGAAATCTTCATTTTTCTCCTTTTAAAGCACTCCTTTTAAATCCTCTTACTGTACCATGCTCTGCTCTCCAGGTTGGTTAGGCAATCTAGAATTCACATTTTAAGACCAATGGCTTAAGAAACTAGACGACTGTACTCAGGAGCTGAGTTGATCTTAAAGATTTTTAGTACCATCATGTACAACAGGAGACCTTTTCTAGTTTGCAAAGAAAGACTGAATTATGCTTAATTTTGTTATAGATACAAAGAAGCTCAACAAAAGGACTTCCCATAGAGACATCAGTCACTGAACTAAACTATTGCATAAAGTAATGAACTTCCCCTTAGTGAATGGAATGAAGTGAAAGTTTAATGTCCATTGACCACCAATGCTAAAAATTCATTGCCATCAACTGATGACAGCAGGGAGTTTGGACTGCAAGACAAATATTCATATCCTCACGTAGCAGAACAATGTTTTGAGATAGTAACTTAAGGTTCTTTATTTTCCTCAGAGTTGCCTTGAATCCATTGCCCTCCTCCAACTCCTACCACCATTCAGGAATCAGTAACAGCTTCGTCTATGCATTGCCCTTAGGTGTACAGTCCAGACAAATTAAGTGAAGTGAAATACTGAATATATTCATTAGAACCATAGCAAGGATAATTCTTCTGAAAACTACACTTTTTCCAGTTGCTTATGTCTGGAGGCATCCCTGACTCCTTCCTATCTCTCATATATCACATGACCATGAACTGACATTATCAGTTCTACTTTCAAAGTATATTCCTCAAGATAAATCAATATGTATTCCAAAATGTGATTTTCTTATCACTTCTACTGAAATGCTCTAGTCCATGCTAACCATTATCTTTTGTCCAGGCTACTGGATTACCTCCTAGCTGATTTGCTGCTTCCACTCCTGCCTTCCTACATAATCACAACATAAAGTAATGATCATGTGAGTCCACCGCTCAGATTCCTGAAATACCTTCCTTGTCATTCAGAGTAAAAGCCAAAGTCTTTACACTGACTTATGACCTCATCACTCCCCAGTCATGCCGGCTTCTTGCTGCTCGTTAAACACTGCAGTGTCCTCCTAAATCAGTGCCTTTGAACCTGATATTCCTCCGCCTGAAATATTCTTCCCCAGGTATCTAATGACTTAGTCTCTTACTCCATTGTCACCTTTTCTGGTTTTCCACACTCATCTTATCTAAAATAATAAACTTTTTGTTGACACTCCTATCCCACTTTCCCTGCTTTTCCCCCCTTAGTACTTACCACCCACTATTCAATATACTTATTAACTGCACATCCCAAAAATATATAAACCAGTAAGATTTACTGTGCAAAGAAATATTTGCTGAATGAATAAAGGGAGACACAATTTTTGTTTAATTAGTATCATTTAATTCGCAGACCTTATTTTATCTCTTTATTTAGTTTATGTCTGCCCCTTCCACCAGGATGTAAACTCCATAAGGGCAGAGATCTTGCATGTTTTGATCATAGTTACATCTCCTGAGACTAGAACTGGCAAACAATAGGTTCTAAAAAATATTTGGTGAGTGAACAAATGAAAGGATAAACATGACTAGGTTGAACTTCATTTCAAAATCTGATCTTGGTGAGGTTGAATCAAGTCTACTCACTACCTTCTGAATTTTTAAGTTAAATGTACATTTAAAGGACTTTAACAAATACTTTAGTAGATTTTTAAACATGCTTCTAAAAACAGCTCTAGATAGGGCCAAATGAGAGCTGCTTTGGCTAGTCAAATGTTAATAATTGTGACAGATGACACATCTGAGCAGAAGCTTTAAATACGATTTTATGATTCAGGCTGGGTCTCATCATGAGAATGGTATTTCTAAATTATAGACTACTCCTTCAGACTAAACACTAAACAGTGGCACAGCCAACCTGAAGCCAGTCTGCAGCCAACATGTCACATGAGTAAGAAATAAACCCAGCATTTGTAAATAACTAAGATTTGGAGGTTGTCTTTATACAGAATAACCCAGTGAAAGATGACTGATACATCTCTCATGATCAACAGTTTCACCAAAAGATTAAAACTAACCTGAATAAGAATAGCAGCCTTCTCCCTCTGTTCCTGGATATTTTCTTTTTTTTCTTTCTTTAAAATAGTTTTATTATTGATGCAGGAATTTGGCCGGGATGTCGGGGGTCTTACTGTAAGAGTATGTAGCCTGGTAGAGAAATGAATCTGTTTGCGCATGATGTGACCACGCCAGTGTGCCTGGATTACCACCGCTGCCATACTAGTAAGAGGAGAAAAGGAAACATTTTTAGTCCCCATAAACACACAGTTTATACAAACATACAACTGTATTCAGTTAAGAGGTCCTGATAAGCTATATTGGTAAACATGGGACTACATGAAGTCTGACTTAAAAATAAGACTCCTCCCTTTACTTAACTATAGTTATAGCAGTAAAAATAGTACGGGAACCTTCAAACCTGAAGGAAGAGAAGTGGGCCGGTATTTTAGAAAGGGATATGCATACAGGGATTTGCATCTGTTTCTCTTAAGTGGGGAGATAAGGAGATTTTGTAAGGTCCTGAGGATGGTGCAGTAGAGAGAGGAGAAAAGTGCTGACGTAGAAGAAAGGGGGCAGATGAAGGAGCCACGCTGGGCTGACAAGAGGATAGGTCTCTATTCGCAGCGCAGAGGTTGGCGTTGGAGAGGAAGGAGAGCCCCCTTACTGTAAGAGAAAGGCCCCAGCAGGTCTTTGCCAGTGTCACTGCCCTCCCTGCCCTTGACAAATACTTGTATCATACTCTCATACTCTTACATGCATAGTAGTAAATTCTAACATTTTCCCAGTCTCCAGCTATTTGCCAGTTTTAGGCACTGTATCAGTCAATGGTGTGTTTTTTCTTCATCCCCCTAGGCCACCCAGCAACATTAGTACAATTTGAATAATAAGTACATTGTGAATATCTGACTCTTCCTAATTGGATATGTTTTCCTTTTCCCACACAGATTACTGCACAAAAATCAGAGTACAGAGTGTGGTCGAAGTGTTAACTATTTTATCTTCATCTTTCTTCAAATTCCTGAGTTTAGTTTAAAATGTATGAAGTAATTTTTGGGTATCCACTTTCTCCAGTGCTCCCTTAAAACAGTTTTCAGTAATTTTATAATTTTCCAAACCCACTGAAATTTTCTCCTTCCTCATACTAGTGAGTTTAAGGAGAAGTGAAATTGAGTGATAAACTCTGCCAGACATGACGACATATTCTTTTTCTTGTAATATATTTGTGGGAAATTAGAAAAGAATGATGTAGCTGTTTCCTATTGTTATTACTTTGTAATCATCATTATCATTTTACCTAAAGCCTGCAGAAGCCTTCAATCTGTTTTGCTATGAACAGAAAATTGAAGTTAATAGATAAAACTTTTGGCCAAAGATAAACTACTGGTGCTCCTAATGCTTGGAAAAAATAATCATGTCCCAACAAATCATTTCCCCCTCCTACAGTAAACAGAATTTTGTAAATTTTGCTATGGAATTAATTCACAATTGTTCATTTAATCATTAATTCATACCTTCATCTTGTGAACAAAAAAGAGGGAATTTTTGCATTGGAATAGGTACTTGGGGTGATGGAGAATCTGCAAATGTATTTGCAGTGTGTAACTGGTAAAGGATAAAGGGCTTGTAAGAAAACTCATCTAAGTTGAGACGGTAACTTACATTTCTCCACCAAGCATATATTTCACTGACTGTAACTGTGAATTTCTTCTAAAGCTGACCAGTCATTGAGTGTTTGAGTCCTCAGTCCAAAATCCTCAAAATTTCCCAAAGGAAAAAAACAAACAAAACGAAATGTAGATAAGGGATACTATCCCCAGTGGTACTAACACAAGGACTGCTTTTCACTATGCTGAAGGTAGTGAAAGCAGGTAAAGAAGCTGATATTAAGGCTTCTTGAATGTGCGGCACCCTCCATGCTGAGGGAAACAGCTTGTATTCTTACTACCGTCATCATCGTCATTTTTCTTAAATCCAGAATCATAATGATGAAAGTGTCCTTAGCATAAGAACACATGTAAATCATATTTAGGAAACACAATTGATAGTGAATCTTCTTGAAGTCTTGAATGGCAAGGTTCAGCAAGTGAGTACATATTCTATTTTCCCTTTATTTTTTAGGTCTTTGGTTTGTATTTTCAGCTCTTTATCCTTATTATCTTCATTTGGCTATTTTACTGATCATGGCTTAAGAAGTTCTACATGTTGTTTATATGAAATTTCAATAGGCAACGTCCAAGTTGAGGACACACTACTCCAAAAACATTGCATCCTGGCATGCTGAATATTTTGAGCTGCAGGAATTTGAGAAACAGCATGTGTAGGAATAACTTGTTGACCTTCTCTGGAAGCAGGTCATAAGACTCACATGAGAGGTGGCCTCCCTATACCCAGGGGAAAGAAGCATTCCTATCTGAAGTTGAAGTCACGACAAGAAGAATCTGAATGAAGAGACCTTGCTAAATTTCCCCCAGCACCACTCTTAGCTCATACCCTTGTCCTATCATATTTTTCCATGGCATTCCACTCTTCATCAAACCTAATATAAAATGCTCTGGTTTAACTACGTTTTCAGGTCTTCATATCTTTACAAGGGCTCCTGACTCATGTAAAACTTATATTAAGTAAATTTGTATGCTTTTCTCTTATGAATCTATCTTTTGTTATAGGGGTCCCAAGTGAGAAATTAGAAGGGTAGAAGAAAAAGAAAAATTTCCTTCCCTATAGAAAAAAAAGCAATTAAGTAAATTGGTAAAATGTAAATTAGAAAATGTTAAAGCCACTTTCAAGAAAATTTTTTCAATGTTTGTATTAGGGCGTATATGTTAGTTTCAGCATGTCAAACTTTTAAATATAGCTCCCAGAAAAATAATCACCATTCACACTGACAACTCCTGTAAGAGTTAAGACAGGAAAAAGCAAAATTAGCTGCATTCTGCCCTGTTCAACAATTCTCATTATAGAAGAAGCTGAGTTTGACCATTTTTAATTTTCCTGGCTTGATACTGAGGCTAAAAGTAGGAAAACAAACAAACAGAAAAGCTGACAGACCAAAATAAAACCCTATCTTTGCTGGTTCAATAAAAAAAATTAAAGCCATTAGTTTTTAAAAACAGCGTAATAGTTGGAAGAAGGTATATAGGACTGTTCTCAAAGAATATGGTCCTACCTTATAGAATTGCTATGCTAAAGAAAATTATAGCACATGCATTTGAATATTTGTGTAGATGCTTATTAAATGTTTACAGATCAGATCATTAAGCAAATAAAAAACATTGAAAGGTATTTTTAAAAAGTAAAATTACTTGATCTAAAAAGTATTCTTTATACTATTTTTAGGATAGTATAGTGTTAATTTCTCCTTCAAAATTCATTTTAATTATTTAGAGATTAGAAGGCAGAAAAGATTTCATATGAACTCATTTTAAATTAAGTAATACTGTACTATAATTAATAATTTGAAAACATAATTAAGGGAATTAATATGAAATATATTAGTAATTTAAATCCTTTACCAAATTATTTAGTAACATTAAGAGCATCCATAAAAAATAAGAAGTAAACAACTTCTAAAAAAGAAATGATCTATAAATCTTACATTCTTTCATGATGTTCAATATTTTGATGATTCTTCAGCAGAGATTTTGTCATTACTGTTTCCATGAATGGGATTCTTTCAGTGAGGGTGTAGCTTGCTTTGCTGTCCTCTCTCTTCTGTTCTTCTATTTTTTCCTGATTTTTGCCTTCCATATCTTCACATAAGGAGGAGTTGATTGATAGGGTGTGACTAGAGGCAGAGTCCACCCATTCCTCAGAAATACCTGGTGAGTCTGGCTTATGTTCATTTGCACAAGAGTAAAGAACTCTATTTTGTAGCGCACTGTCACTGTTTGTACGTGACAAATGATTTTGCTGGACTTCTGATTCATCTCTCTGGGTGATACTTATATCCCCACGTTCATGTACACATCGGTATTCATTGCTAAGTGTCATCAATTTCTTAAAATAATGACAGAGATTTTCTGCAGCATCCAAGGTGAATACATTTCTGAACAAATAACGAGGACATTTTAAAATAAGAATTGTAACAGAAAATGTTAAAAGTGTATAGGTCTGAAAATTTCCCTGTGTAGCCTGACACGAAAATTAAACCTCACTACAACATTCATTAAAAATTTATTTCTGGTTGTTTATAAAAATGGGTCTAGTTCCTAGCAAATTTTGAAAATATTTGTTCAGTTAATAAGTAGATCTATCAATCCAGACAGATGTCTATAAATTTTAAACTAATCTTTATGCTAGGTATTTTTGGTACAAATGAATGAAAAAAAATCCATGCTTTTACCCAGGAACATGAGAAATCAGGGCTGCATAAATCTGGAGAAGTTATTTATGAAACAGAGTTAAAAGTCTTTCTGCATTGACTCTTGCCGTGCAAAATATTTGTACTGAACTATTAAACAAAGAACTTATACTATGGGAAAGCTTTTATCCCCATTTTTCTCTGGAAAAATAATCCACTGCAAAGAGAATTCAAATACTCTAAGACACAAATGGCTGTGATTCTCTTGAACAATTGTTGGTTTCTACCTCACTAAGTTTATGGCTTATGTAATTAATCAAATTTTCTGTTTGCCAGATTTGAGGCTCTCAAAAGCAAAGGTAAGGACTTGCCACTTGGGTAAGCCTTATTCTTGATTACATTTCATATTCCTTTATTGTTGTTTTTTAAAAATGTTACTTACTTCAAATTTATAATTTGCAACTACCTTTACTATATAGCTGCAAGCTGCCTTAAATTTTTTTCTAAACAATAATGGATATAAGTAAATATCAACTTTTAACCATACCATACAAAATGAGTGATACTCCTAAAATATAGAGATAATTAACAATTTCTACATTCACAAAGGTAATATTAGACTTTAGTGAGGCTCTAATAATATATTTTTGCCATTTTTTAAATCATTAATTTTGTTGACTAATAATGCAGAAAAGTTTCAGTTCAGTATTGGGAATATCAAATGTTTATGCTTAGGTGTTGGATTCCCGACCATTTATGATTAAACATATGAAATATAACACAGTTTACATTTTCAATGACAAAATGAAATTAAGTTGCAATGACAATAAATTGTCCAAAGCAATTGAGAAATTTAAATTTCAACAGAAGGGAAGCCAAGAGTCACCTTTACATAAAAAAATTTTCCATTACCACACATATACAGGAGATAGAAATTTAGATTTACACAGATAAATTTAAATAACCTTTAATATTTGTTAAAAATAAATAGTAATTATAATTGGACTTTTTTAAGCTGTGAGATTTTTTTTTTGAGAGGGCATCTCTCATATTTATTGATCAAATGGTTGTTAACAACAATAAAATTCTGTACAGGGGACTCAATGCTCAATGCACAATCATTAATCCACCCCAAGCCTAATTCTCGTCAGTCTCCAATCTTCTGAAGCATAACGAACAAGNCAGAAACTTTCGGTTTTGATCATGCATTATGAACTATAGACAATCAGGTCAAATATGAATATTCGTTTGATTTTTATACTTGATTTATATGTGAATCCCACATTTCTCCCTTATTATTATTATTATTATTATTTTTAATAAAATGCTGAAGTGGTAGGTAGATGCAAGATAAAGGTAGAAAACATAGTTTAGTGCTGTAAGAGAGCAAATGTAGATGATCAGGTGTGTGCCTGTAGACTATGTGTTAATCCCAGCTAGACAAGGGCAGCAAAACATCCACGGATGCAGAAGATTTCTCTCAAAACAGGGGCGGTGAGGTTTTAAGCCTCACCTCTGTTGATCCCCAATTTTAAACTGTGAGATTTTTTAAATTGAGTAGACTTTATATAAAAACATTTAAATAGAAAATCAAATATTATATAGATGAGCATATATGAAAATAGAAATACCAATAATTTAATAATTATGTTTAGAAATTACTGTTGCAGTTACAATAAAGAGCTGTCCTAAGTGAAATATGAAACCACTTCCTTTTTTATTTGTGTTTTCTGTAGCAATACAAATTAGCAAATACAGTTACAGAAAGATCAACTGTAATTCATTCAGACTAATGCATTCAGAATCTAGCAGGAAGCCTGGGGAGCTCTCTTTCTCTGTTATTTGATTAGGACTCTGCTCCCAGCTTCTGTCCTCTGAATACGTTCATATAAAGACTGCTTTTTTCCCACAGTGCTCCCAATAACACCTTAACATATAATTATAAAATATGTACAATATGCCTTAATATATAATAAATATTATATGTATTACAAAATGTGCCTTGCTCCATTGTAACTATTTACCTGATTTTTTTCTTATGTCAATTTGTGAATTCTTTTGAGGATAAACTGTAATATTTAGTTTATTGTGTGTTTATTCACAATAACTGTTGAATAAATTTATGACTGAATGAAAGACTGAATATTTGCCTCATCTTGAAACTATCTTCATGCCTTATTTTATCTAATATTGGCACTTAAGTTATATTTTAAATTATGTTTAAAATAAATATTAGTATATCTCAAGCAACAATGATGCCCAGCAGGCTTTTTTTAAGGGAGAATATCCCTAAAACACATTAGTCTAATCTCAAAACTATGATTAATGAGAATATTTTTTAGTCATATGTATAAATTATTTCTTTAAGTAACAAAAAGGGAAGATAACAGTCTTACCCTTTCCCAATAATATAGTTTTCAATTAGTAAGTTGAATTCTCGAATCTGGGACTGACAAAATGTCAGGAAACGACCTAACCCTGGTTGATAATGTTCTTCAGTACGGCTTTCTGAGTAAGAGCTTAGCATTTCACCATTGAGGATTCTTAGAGCTGGTAATATTTTCAGTAGAGAATTCCTATTGAAAAGAGGAAAATATTTAATTTTGAAAAGGAATTTATATCTCAAATAACTATATACTTATTATTAAAACAGTATAAGCACAAAGTATATAAAATTTTCAATTTTGTAGAGAAAATGATACTGTTAAGTTTGTTTAATAAACTTACGGTATGATGTGATACACAAATTAATTTTTAGAGTTCTTGATATACATTTAACACTGTCTAAAAAATGGGAAGTTCAAGGAGTTGGACACTAGGGCTGGGAGTGAATAAAGGTGATATTATGAAAAGAAAAATAACATCAGATTATTTTTGTTTATTTCAGTAGAGGTGAATTCTGATTGTTTTTCTTAGCAAAATACAGCGTAAGATAGTTTAAACAAGAGTAGTAAGACATCGCTCTATTTATCATGATCTGAAAATCCACACCTATGTTATTTTTCCAGGAATCTTGCTGAAGATGATGATAAAAGTCTTTTGAATATGAGCAAAAATCTGTATTAATTTAAAAGACTACTGCTATGAAAAACCAAGTCGGACAGCAAGAGCTGTCCATCAAGCTTAGCCATTTAGAAATACTTGCCCAAACCTTTCAAAAGGAGAACATAGGCCTCTTTTCACAAGGCTACTGATGGCCACAGGGGCAAAATGCACTTCTTAAATGAATAAAACTCCTTAATTCAAAACTAAAAGTTCCTGTGAGGAAAACTAAAAAATTGGTGAAAAATATCAAAGAACTAAATAAATGCAAAGATATACATATATATATAT